AAGGAAGTACACTGGCAGACAAGTTGGACCACAAGTAGAGGGACAGCTTGTTTAAAAAATACAATTCTCCCAAATCTTTCAGTACCTTTCAGTACTATTGACATGGTATCTTTCTAGGTCATCTGCTGGGGTTGACCTTGGGGACATTGTTTTGCAGTAGTTCCAGTCCTTCCATTTTGGAGGTATCCAGAAAGTGGTGCTGGTGGACTACTGTTTGTCATCTATGGTGTCCCACAGGGTTTTGCTTCTCTTCTGTGCTATTTAATGCCTACGTGAAATTGCTAGATGATGACACTGAGCTCTCTTGTTCCTTACCATCCAATTCCAAGGATACTTCCTGGGAAAGCACCTTTGACTTGGTAATGGGTTTGACAAGGAATAACAAGTGGGAACTAAACCCTGACAAGGCAGAAGTACTCCAGAATGGGTGAGAAGAAACGCATTGAGGTGAAACCTGTTTTAAATGATGTTGTCCACCCCCAACCCCAAAAGAGCAGGTTTGCAGTCTGGGAGCGATCCTTTGCTCCTAGTGGTCACTGGATTTGCAGCAAGTAACCTTCTGAACCAGTTGGAACTAACAATAGGTACCTCATCCTGTCTCACCTGCTAAGATCCCGCCACTTTACATGGGGCTGCCCTTGAAAAGAGTCTGGAAATTCAGCTGGTACTAAATGTGATGGTTAGCCTGCTAACGAAACCAAGGTACAAGGATCCTACAATGCCTGCCATGAAAGATCTGTACAGGTCACCAGCTGCTTACTGGGCACAGTTTAAAGTGTTGGTGTTGCCTTTTAAAACCCTAAATGGCTTACAGCCTGATGATGAGAGGGACTGGTTCTCCTGCTATAAACCTACCAAGTTACTTACATCAGTAGGAGAAGTCCTTGTATAAAGAGAAGAGTAGGATATAAATTAAATAAAATTGCTTTGGTTATTCCCTGCAGTGACACAAACATGGAATCAGGGCCAGTGTATTTAAGATCATGTTCCCTGCCTTTGAATATATATGACTGTGATGGGATGCAGAGATACATGACACCTGCAGTAACCCTAAACCCAGTTTTCCACTGATTTAATTATACATTAAAATATAATATGCATTAAAAAGAAAGAGACACACAAGCACTGAGAATTATAATGAACCACATGGACCTTTTAACCTTCCCACCCATCCCCAAATGCAAGACTGGCAGTCTTTTTAAAATAACTGTGTTTAGGATTTGGGTAGGAGCAAGGAGATATATGGGTTCCCTAATAGTAACAATTGCCACTGAGGACATGCTGTGAAAATTCAGAATGAGAAGGGTGACTGTGGAGCACAGATTATTGAACTTTAATTTTTAAATGAGCTTAGACATCTGTGAAATTTAAACCCCACAGCCAACAATTTATGTGACACCGTGTTAAAAAGGGAACAAAGCTTTGACATGCAAATTCTGAATCTTACATTGCACCAGAGCAGCTAACCTTGTGAACAACCTTCATGCACACACTCACACTCACTCCACACACACACTCTTCTGCCTGATGCCTCCCATATGGATCTATTCCTCCTCTCCCCTTTCTAATTAAATAGGCAGGACTTCTTAGTTCATTTTCTACCAAGACTGATAAAAACGTAGGCGAGGCCTGTTATTAACCTCCCGCATACTTTTATCATTCATATTTTCTCCTTTGATATAAGCAGCTACATTGTATGAATTGATCTTTGCAAACAGGATGTTATTACGCATGCACGCGCGCACGCACACGCACACACATAGATGGCATTGCAAATGTCAGCCTATTACTGATTCATTAAAGTCAGGTTGTGATATTTCTGAATTTGATGTTATTAACCTTCTGTAGAGTTAACAGTCATAGATTAGACATTTATTCATTTCCAGACTTCTGTTTATTCTTCAGTATAGGCTTATATACTCATAAAAATGAGGTTACATTAGATAAACTTTGCACTTAGTATTAACAAGGGTAAGGCAGTCACATTTTTATGTGAGAAAGAGCTTTAAACAGATGCAACTATTCTGATTTTAAAACTTGATGATTGCTACTGAAAAGAATGGCAGTCTTAATTGATGACAAGTCTCTGTCACCCAAATGAACATGTGTCATATAATTATTCCATTCTAAATAAAAATCTCTAAAGATTATTTTTTAAATCATATCATCACTGATTCATCCATTCCTAATTTTAATTTAAATAACATCATACAAGTTGCATTAAATATATTTTTCTGAAGACTGTGACAGCAAATGATGCAGACTTTAAAGTGGAAAAATTACTTGCAACTCAGAGACACCAAATGATCAAGGAACAAATCTGTAATTTGCTATTACAAATTCAATTGGTGCAATTAAATGATTCATTTATTGATTCTTGCTGCCCAAATCATTGTAGAATATCAACTTTCTATTTTTTTTCCAAAAAAAATAAGGTCTTCCCATCCAATGGCTGGTGTGGGTCTTCCGGCCTGTGTGGCCGTGTTCTTGAAGTTTTGTTTCCTAACGTTTCGCCAGCACCTGTGACCGGCA